GCAAACTACGATCACGGATTTTTTATCGAACCTATACTATGGCCAATAAGCTGTCACAAGGAAAGGATCTTGGTGATCCTCTACGTCGAGAAGGATCCGAATCCACAGCGATATTTCAATTTTCTTTTTCTGTTTCATGGCAGTGACTCCTTCGAACACGATCTCTAGACTACTGTTATGCTATCCAGATTCAATCGAATATTAACAAACTAATATACTAATATATTATGAGTCCGTCTCATGATGTATCTACATTCATAGAATTCATACAACTCTGCCTTCCATGAAAACGAAACGGTAACCAAGCTTGTAAGAGTTCGGTTGTGTTTCTTTGCGCATACGGAATCGAAAGAGAATCCATGTCAGCATGTCTGCGACAATATGCACATATTGGAGAGGTCAAACATCCGGCACAGAAGCTATGACCGCACGGTAACCTACTGGAGTGTCAGAATTGGGTTCCTTTATTTTGGACATGAGCTCACATTCGTGGATCTGAGAGGATGTTGAGACATATGCCACATTTATTTTGATCTCCCAAGTTGGTAAGAAGCTACGGTGAGACTTGGCTTGAGTCTATTCCTAATTGGAAGAACGAGTATTGCCTTACCTCTCGATACCAGTGCAGCTCTCTCTTTAGGGAGCAAATCTGAGCAGTTTTGTCGAGTTCTTTCCTTTCCAGGTTCTTGTATTCCTACGAGACATTTAGCCGGGTTTCAACTTAAGACAACTGCGCGCACGTACCGTACTGAGTTCCTTGAGAATAGTCTCCAACGACCGTTTCTCCGACTCCCATTCGCGCAGAATGGTGTTGTAGGAACCTAATAGCTCTTCTGATGCTTGTCTATGCCCTTCGAATATACGTTCATAGTCACACATCCGAACAGGTGGGACATTTTCACGCCCTATTGTAAGATGTTTAGCGACTACGATGAAGGGCAGCAAGCCCATAAGAGAAAGGAGTCATCGTTCATACTGACGAGACTGTTTCTCACCTTCATAGCAGAAACAGCCTGGCGCTGTCCAAATTGGTCTACGCAAAGGGGCTCCCAACACAGTGCGACTATTGGTTATTTCGCTGTCGGTTTGGGCCATTGAAGTAAGTGATAGAGGGATAGGGCATCCAGCCAATGAATGCTACGCCTTTTAAAAGGATCAACATCGTCTCCCGACCATTCCAGGAAGGCACAAGCCGCTCAATCCGCAACCATTGTATTACAAAGCTCCAGAAAATTCCTATCAAAGTCCGCAATACGAGTGTCAACTTCTCAGTGTGACATCCTGAGACTAGTCATAGGGACAGTAGCTCTACTTCTTTTGGTGTATGAGGGCATTGACATGAAACATTACACGATCACGGATATGTCATCCGGTCGATCTTTTTTTGGAGGAAGAGAGCGTCGACGTGAAACGTTACATTCGCCTCCGAATTCGGTAGCCGTCGCCTAAGTTGACGGGAGCGTAAGCTTACTTTTTCTGGTGTGCGAAAACGCTGACATGAAATTGACATTACCCAGATACGTCACTCGTCGATACTTTTCTGGAGTAGGGGGGCCCTGGCACGAAACCTTACATTTGTCTCGGGATGTGGTGGTTCAGTGCAGGCGAATGTTCGTCTTACCACATTGAGGGTCTCACCGCCTCGACACGAAACACTACATTGTCCCGAGCTAGGAACGAACCAGAACTAGATGGAGCATTTCGTCACGGAATCTCAAAAATGGTGACAAGGAGGCGAACCTTGACTCTCACTCGGCATGGGCTCTAGGAAATTAAGGGGGGCGTGTCTCGTAGCAGTCACTGTACCAATGTGGTCGGATGTACATGCTATAAAAGGACGTCGAATTCGTTGACTTACCGGTTCAAACAACCATGCCTCCCGGACCTGCAGTGCGTGAGACATCGGCAAGTACTCTTTTCTGTGTTACAAGATTGCGCGCACCTAACTGGCCGATTATATAGAAATACAAGAAGGACGCAGGAGATAAGATGGATGTGGATAGTGATTCCACCAACGATCCTAATATAGATACGCTCACCAAACTCTTGATGGGTATGGAGATCCTGGGTAAAAAAATGGATGTCCTTCAGGCCGAAGTAGACAAAGCGAAAGAGATTAACGCTTTGGACGACACCGATGAGGAGACCATTGACACTCCCACCAAGAACCGTCGTGGAGGTCCACACAGCGACAGAGAGAACACCTTGAAAGTGAGTGTAGTATCTGTCAGTTTCTTCCCTTGAATCTGATCAATAACAAGCAATATGTTCGAGAATATGCTCATGAGAGGCTACGTATTAATGTCAAGAAACCGATGGAAACTTGGCCAACTGTTTCCGAAGACATCTCAAAGCGTTACAGTAAGGGTGACGCGTCCATTGAAGGTCCTAACAGCAATAATTTTGTCCTTGATTGGGGTACTCGCGCCACAACCCAATGGACCAAGGATTGTGCTGGTATTTTTGCGAGGGACTTCTGCTCCAGGCACAAATCCGAACCTTTTCCTCTCCTCATCGGCAAAGTCGACCTTATGGAAGTAGAAAATGCTTTCCTTACGCACATATTATATCTCAAGCGGCTCTACTTGAAAGAGAAAGTCGACCCAATCGGAGCTGCCGCCGACAAGGGTCTAATGGATCAACGTTCACGTTCTTTCAGTAGGCGCAAGCAGGTGAGCATACTGAAGATGTCAAGCGCAGTATTCTAACACTACTATTTAAAGATGGCAGGGAGGCGGGTTGCCTTGATGAAATATCACGATTTTCCGAGCGATTCAATCACCATGGTGAAATCTTTAGGAGTGGATGGTGTATCAAGCGAAGAAAGCGACGGGGAATCCGAATCTGGGTCAGATCGTATTTTCAAGATCAAACGTCTCTCTTGGCGGAGTCCAGACCTTACCACATTTTTACGAAGGATCGATGAACTTCCACTCAAGAAACGTGGTAAGCGACCTCTTTACCAGAGGAGATTAAGGCGCCGGCGTGTGGTCGCAGATATCAACTCTGAGGGTCGTGATGCGGTACCTAGTCTTCCCTCCAATCTTTATCGAACGGAATGGCTACAAAGCCTGAACGAGCGGGCAAGAAAGAAACTTGATACTCAGAAAGACGCCTTTGTGTTCCCCAGGATCGACGACCTTGTTCGTCGGACCACATAGGCCGCCCGCTGGACGCACTCGTCCCCAAATAATCGAGGTCTCTCGTCACTTATCAACGAACTTGTCTTCAGATACGGATATGATGCTAGAATTGCAATTCAATACAAGTATTCCATCAAAAATCTATCATCGTGAATGAGGTGATTAATTTACTAGCTAGACAATAAGAATTCTCCATTCGTCCATGCCAGTGATCAGTCCTAATCCCTGAGACTATGAGGATTCATTCGCCGCGAAAGTGTGGAGCCCAGAGATGACACTGCGGCGTGGAGTTAGGTCCTACAAAATGGTGCTGGGACTTCCCACATACCTTTCCAACATCTCCTCATTCTGCTTTGGCGGGGGCTTTGTCCTGAATTGGCAACGGGGCTCCTTAAGACCGGTATAGAGCCGGAATGTCCGACTAGTCGAGTAGGGATATATCCTCTTTCTTAAGTTCTTGTTGGCTTTGTTGAACCACGCCTGTTTAGCCACCATGTTGCGAGTACTATTACCCTTTGGGTCTAGGATTTGGCAAGTAGCAACGAGTTCCTCCGCGACTACTTCCCATTCTCTTCTCTCAAAGTCGGTGAGGGCTTTCCACAAGTCCGCGTGAATGAGACCCTCATCTATCTTCAGAAGCCCGGTTATGTCCCTCGGAAGTGCGAACTGAAGTCGCTTGAACACACTAAACCCATCCTGAGGGATCGATAGCGCATCAAGAGCAACGCGCAAACTGGTACTATTATCGTCCATGTGCACCCATATCTCCTTGAGCACTTCGTCAAGGAAGGAGCAAATGGTGAGTGGGGCTACACGTGGCTGTATCGAGATCAGGACTCATCAGAAGGCTAGAGTTGGATTCGAGCTTACAGAAGTTATCGCAATGAAGGCGCGAAGTAGCTCGAATTCTCGTTGAGACATCAGACTAGCCAAAAGGTCGGTTCCCCTTAAGGTGAGGCGCCGTCGACTGGACTTTTATAACATTAATTTAGGTTAACGATACATACGCGCAAATGATGTATCTAAGCCACGATGAAGCGTGCGGCCCTAGCTTACAGGATTTGCGACAACTGTCAAAATGCGCAAAGGTCCGCGATAAGGCTAATCCGACCCTTGCGTCGACTGATCGACGGGACGATACGGATGAACAGATCAAATGGAGAATACCGAAAACTGGTTCATCTTGTGAGTGTTTTCCTCGTTCTCGTTGAGTCGTTGTCCTTCTCCTACACACCCAGCTAGTCCTGATATAAATGCTGCAATTAGCGGTTCTTCTTATACCGACATCTGGAACATGTGATTGTTTCATCGACGAATACCAGACGAAATTCTTGCGATGATGTTGCATGGGGAAGATGTCGGTCCCAAAGGATCTCGTAAGCTTCCTTGCTTATCGGTCACGGTCAAGGTTCGCTTAGGCCTAACGGCATAATTTGACAATGAGCATTGATAATGAAAGGCTATTGTATTATCAGGACTAGGAGGACGGAGCTACCAACTCGTCAATGCTTCGTAATTCAGCCTGTCAATGGCGAGACGGTCTTCGCGTTACAGTCGTAAGTAACCCACACCGCGGTCAACCCAAAATTTGACGTAAAAATATTTCTAAAAATATTAGACACTTCAAAAACCTAATTCTGTCGTCAGAAGGAATGTCAGGGTGGGTTTCAAACCTGAAACATGATCGACTACTGTCGACATGTTAACAAATATATTCTCAGAGTTCCGTCGTTCCAAAAGAACATTCGGCTCATAGATAGCATATCTTTCGTGCTCTCGAGTTAGGATGAGATAAGACTGATCCCCCCTTCACGCATACCCGTTCTTCTGTCTCTTCGCTCCCTCCCAATCGACCTCTCTTCTTCGACTTCATATACAACTCGCTCACTCTTACAGCTTCATAATCGCCACTAAAATGCCACGCGGTGTTCAGAATCATGCACCACCCTCCCTACCCCAGTATTATCGCCGAATAATACCAGCACGGATGGTAAGTCTCCCTCTATCGTAGCATGATTCGCTTGGCAAGAAGAGCTAACAAAATTGAACAGCCATCTCACTCCGTTTCGACTCTGCAGGAGTTGATCCAGGATCGAATTACGATACCTGATGGAATGCATGAATGCCACCTCGACGCGCACATTCGTTCCGCTTCGTCTCAGATGAACGGGTACATTTTATTCTATGCATTTCAATCTCGTATAATCAGAAGGACCTGCACGACATCTGGTCGACTGACGCGCCTGATCGCCGCATATTGGAAGCTTCTTACCCCCGCGGAACAACAACTTTGGAAGGCACTCTCGCGTGATCTCTACAATTCTTTCAAAGCCCTCCGGCACCAGTTCCCACCTCGAAATACGGTCCCCTTACACAAGCGACTGAAAGAATACCATCGAAGATGTTCTCCTGTACGGTCGATTCTACGACATCTTCAAGAAGAATTTCTATACCTGCGGAGGCCGAGGAGACCTTGATATCAGGTATGACTTCCTCTCCTCACGTCTCGAAGTTCATGCCTCATTTGACGTCAAGGGAAATCAACAAATCGCTCGCATCCATGACCCCTGGAAGGTTTGTGAGCACCTGACATCGATCCTTCCGCCAACTGAACTGTTTCCATACCAGATTTTTCTTTTACTTGAGATTATAGTAGTCAATGCCGAAGAACACACGAAATAGGATGGTTTAACTAAGGATGTAGCGATGACACTATTATCAGAGCTTTCCGAGAGGTGGGAACTGGTGCCGGAGGGCTTTGAAAGAATTGTAGAGATCACGCGAGAGTGCCTTCCAAAGTTGT